TGATGGTTGAAAACATAATTGTTTCGATCCTTCCAAATGAACCAGCCAATCCAAACTACTTTACCGAGGCAGGAAGCTCGATCCTCCTCATTCTTGAAGTTTGCCACCACAATCGATTGAATAGCTCCACAATCAACTTTGAAGTTCAAATCACTCCCGAACCAAACGGCTCTAACCCATTCACAATCAAAAAGCAAATGTTCCACCTATTCAATTTTGCATTGACATATCGGGCATACATTAGAAGGGGCACACTGTCTTCGAAACAAGTTTTCTCTGGAAGCCAACACATTTTTACAGGCTCTCCACCAGAAATGGCAGATTTTTGGAGGAACTTTGAGAGACCAAATCAACTTCCAAAAAGTATCCGGAGGGCTAAAAGAGGTAGAGGGTCTCTGAATCCACTGGTTTTGCGTCTCTGACAGAGCCACATGATATCCAGATTTAACTGAGTATACCCCTGTTGATTCAAAATGCCAAATCAGTGCATCTTCTTTAGGTGCCAACGGTAGAGGAGTTGTCCTGATTGCTTCCATTTCAGATTCAGATACCAGGGTTCGAAGAACATCAACCTTCCATCTCTTACTGGTAGAGTCAATTACATCTTCTACCTTTGAGATCAAAGATCCTCCAGGTAGTGGAGTGGATATCTTGAATTTAGGGAGAGTTGGCACCCATTTATCTTGCCAGAACTTAACATTTGCACCGCTATGAATTTGCCATCTTAACCCTTCCATAAGCATATTCCTTCCCTGCAAAATACTAGCCCAAGCCCAAGAAGCCCTACGCCCTTTCACCACTTCCAAAAAGGAGGAATGAGGAAAGTAATTGCCTTGCAAGATGCGAGCACGAAAAGAGTTCGGATACTTCACTAATCTCCAACCTTGGCGAGCTAAAAGGGCCAAATTAAAAGCTTTGAAATCTCGGAAGCCTAACCCTCCTTTAAATTTTGATAGCACCAAAAAGTCCCAATTGATCCAATGAATCCCTCTTCCTTCTGGATCCCCACCCCACCAAAATTTGCTAATATGGGCATTCAATCGTGTACAAAACCATTTTGGAAAAGCGAAAGTCTCTTTCCCCGCTTGTGATAACAATTTTGATTTCCACCCTTGTAACTTGGAGAGAACTTTTTCAATTATGAATTGAAAAGCTTCCGCTTTTGACCGACCCCAGACTGAGGGTAAACCCAAATATTTTGCATTAGCAGGGGTAGTCTTGAGACTCGAGAGGGCACTGATTAAGCTGCTCACCTGTGGCTGAACATTTGTGGGGAATTACACTTGATTTTTCAAAATTTACTTGTTGACCAGATGCCTTGCAATAAATGTCCAGAATCTCCAACCATTTTTACATTCCTGAGTGTCAGCCTTAAGAAAGAGTAGCACATCATTTGCAAAAAATAAATGCGAAAGAGTTGGGCAGTGCCTTGTTATTTTCATCCCCGAGATTTGATTTTGAGTGAGACTCCGATTGAGGAGTTTTGATAGAACATCCACAACTAAAATGAAAAGATATGGGGAGAGGAGATCACCCTGTCGAAGCCCTCGAGAAGGAATAAAAGAGGCTCTTTTTTCACCATCAGCAAAAATAGAGAAGCTCACTGTAGAAACACATTCCATAACCCAATTAATCCATTTAGGGTGATACCCCAACTTTTGCAGAATAGCAGCTAAAAAGTCCCATTCTATCCGATCATAGGCCTTGTTGAAGTCAAGTTTGATAGCGATGTTACCAACAACCCCTGATTTTTTTAATTTGAGAGCATGGAAGGCTTCATGGGCCACAATAATATTGTCTTGAATCATTCGCCCCGGAACAAAAGCTGATTGGTTTGGAGAGATAAAGTTCTTCAGGATTGGTTTCAGACGATTGACAAGGATCTCTGTGATGATTTTTAGGTTAAAATTACATAAGCTGATTAGGCGAAATTGGGATAACAACACAGGATCGCAAACCTTGGGAATCAAAATCAGATTGGTTTGATTGAGTTCTTTGAGCAGATACCCTCCCAGAAAAAAACTCTTCACTGCTTCACAAACCTTTGCTTCCACTTCTTCCCAATAAGTTTGATAGAAAAACCCTAGAAAGCCATCCGGCCCTGGAGCCTTCACAGCCCCTAATTGGAATACTGCTGCCTTGATCTCTTCATCACCGACCAGTTGAATTAAGATCCTATTCATAACATCAGAGACCATAGGATCCACAACAGATAAGGGCTCCATGAAGTTTCTGTTTCCAACACTTGTGAATAAAGAAGAGAAGAAACCCAAAAGATGGTGATTAATATCCAATTCCGAGTTTAGTCAAGTCTCGTCCTCTATTTGTAAGCGAAGAATCTAGTTTCGTTGGCGACGTTGGATCATCGAGGCATGAAAAAAATGAGAATTCCTATCTCCATAATTTAGCCATCGGATACGGGATCTTTGATGAATGAACATTTCCTCCCTAGAAAGAGCTGTCTCGAGATCAGATTTCATTTGGTCTTGTGCCTGCATATTAGCCTCTGTCCAGGGTTGGGACTGAAGAGACAAAAGCTTAGATTTTATAAGAGCAATGTTTAAGCTATTGTTTCCGAAATGTTCTTTACTTTTAAGCCCATCTCTACAGCACTGAAGTTTCTTAACTAATTGGAACATAGGAGATCCACCCTGAATGACAGCCCATTTGGAGTTGATAACCTCCACACAATCAGGACTCGTTGACCACATGGTTTCGAATTTAAAGAGTCGAGGCACCCTCTTGAGAGGTACACATCAATTTAACACCACAGGGCAATGATCTGATCCAACAAAGAGTTCATGGAATACCTAGGCACAAGGAAATAGAGCTCGCCACTCCACAGTTGCAACTGCTCTATCTAACCTTTCACGAATATTAGCATTTCCACGTTAGTTATTTGACCACGTTGGTGGCTCGAGCGATTAGGCTATTTTCAGCATGTTTTGAAAAATCACATTTTGTTTATATTTTTATCTCGTCTCCTCACAAACATTTCTAAACAAGAATTATGACTTAATGAAGATTAATAAACTAACAATCAACATAAATTAGTTGGTTAAAGAATAAAAACAATCTCTGATACACTGAGGAGGATGACTGATTTGTTATCTCCTTCAATAATCGCCCCTGGTAAACCGCAAGCTTGAGCGCAGAGACAGGCCCATCTGCAAGCTAGAGCTTCACCTTGGAATGAAGAGGAGATATATTCTTTCTTGGTTAAACCATTCAGAATCCGTCCCGAAGAATTCCTCAATACCACTACAATAGAGGCCTGGGAGGAGCCTTTTTTAGTATCCACATCCCAATTGATTTTGAATTTGCCTTGATCAGGGGGCATCCAGGTGCCCACTTCATTTGGGATCAGAGAAGGCTCGTGAGAAAATGAAACAACTGGGCTTATCATAGCATACTCAAATTCTGCCATTGCCACTCCAGCTCGACGTAAAGTCGAGGAGGGCTCCACAGGGTGATGGTTGAAAACATAATTGTTTCGATCCTTCCAAATGAACCAGCCAATCCAAACTACTTTACCGAGGCAGGAAGCTTGATCCTCCTCATTCTTGAAGTTTGCCACCACAATCGATTGAATAGCTCCACAATCAACTTTGAAGTTCAAATCACTCCCGAACCAAACGGCTCTAACCCATTCACAATCAAAAAGCAAATGTTCCACCTATTCAATTTTGCATTGACATATCGGGCATACATTAGAAGGGGCACACTGTCTTCGAAACAAGTTTTCTCTGGAAGCCAACACATTTTTACAGGCTCTCCACCAGAAATGGCAGATTTTTGGAGGAACTTTGAGAGACCAAATCAACTTCCAAAAAGTATCCGGAGGGCTAAAAGAGGTAGAGGGTCTCTGAATCCACTGGTTTTGCGTCTCTGACAGAGCCACATGATATCCAGATTTAACTGAGTATACCCCTGTTGATTCAAAATGCCAAATCAGTGCATCTTCTTTAGGTGCCAACGGTAGAGGAGTTGTCCTGATTGCTTCCATTTCAGATTCAGATACCAGGGTTCGAAGAACATCAACCTTCCATCTCTTGCTGGTAGAGTCAATTACATCTTCTACCTTCGAGATCAAAGATCCTCCAGGTAGTGGAGTGGATAGCTTGAATTTAGGGAGAGTTGGCACCCATTTATCTTGCCAGAACTTAACATTTGCACCGCTATGAATTTGCCATCTTAACCCTTCCATAAGCACATCCCTTCCCTGCAAAATACTAGCCTAAGCCCAAGAAGCCCTACGCCCTTTCACCACTTCCAAAAAGGAGGAATGAGGAAAGTAGTTGCCTTGCAAGATGCGAGCACGAAAAGAGTTCGGATACTTCACTAATCTCCAACCTTGGCAAGCTAAAAGGGCCAAATTAAAAGCTTTGAAATCTCGGAAGCCTAACCCTCCTTTAAATTTTGATAGCACCAAAAAGCCCCAATTGAACCAATGAATCCCTCTTCCTTCTGGATCCCCACCCCACCAAAATTTGCTAATATGGGCATTCAACCGTGTACAAAAGCATTTTGGAAAAGCGAAAGTCTCTTTCCCCGCTTGTGATAACAATTTTGATTTCCACCCTTGTAACTTGGAGAGAACTTTTTCAATTATGAATTGAAAAGCTTCCGCTTTTGACCGACCCCAGACTGAGGGTAAACCCAAATATTTTGCATTAGCAGGGGTATTCTTGAGACTCGAGAGGGCACTGATTAAGCTGCTCACTTGTGGCTGAACATTTGTGGGGAATTACACTTGATTTTTCAAAATTTACTTGTTGACCAGATGCCTTGCAATAAATGTCCAGAATCTCCAACACATTTTTACATTCCTGAGTGTCAGCCTTAAGAAAGAGTAGCACATCGTCCGCAAAAAATAAATGCGAAAGAGTTGGGCAGTGCCTTGTTATTTTCATCCCCGAGATTTGATTTTGAGTGAGACTCCGATTGAGAGTTTTGATAGAACATCCGCCACTAAAATGAAAAGATATGGGGAGAGGAGATCACCCTGTCGAAGCCCTCGAGAAGGAATAAAAGAGGCTCTTTTTTTCACCATTAGCAAAAATAGAGAAGCTCACTGTAGAAACACATTCCATAACCCAATTAATCCATTTAGGGTGATACCCCAACTTTTGCAGAATAGCAGCTAAAAAGTCCCATTCTATCCGATCATAGGCCTTGTTGAAGTCAAGTTTGATAGCCATATTACCAACAACCCCTGATTTTTTTAATTTGAGAGCATGGAAGGCTTCATGGGCCACAATAATATTGTCTTGAATCATTCGCCCCGAAACAAAAGCTGATTGGTTTGGAGAGATAAAGTTCTTCAGGATTGGTTTCAGACAATTGACAAGGATCTCTGTGATGATTTTCAGGTTAAAATTACATAAGCTGATTAGGCGAAATTGGGATAACAACACAGGATCGTAAACCTTGGGAATCAAAATCAGATTGGTTTGATTGAGTTCTTTGAGCAGATACCCTCCCAGAAAAAAACTCTTCACAGCTTCACAAACCTTTGCTTCCACTTCTTCCCAATAAGTTTGATAGAAAAACCCTGGAAAGCCATCCGGCCCTGGAGCCTTCACTGCCCCTAATTAGAATACTGCTGCCTTGATCTTTTCATCACCGACCAGTTGAATTAAGATCCTATTCATAACATCAGAGACCATAGGATCCACAACAGATAAGGCCTCCATGAAGTTTCTATTTCCAACACTTGTGAATAAAGAAGAGAAGAAACCCAAAAGATGGTGATTAATATCCAATTCCGAGTTTAGTCAAGTCCCATCCTCTATTTGTAAGCGAAGAATCTAGTTTCGTTGGCGACGTTGGATCATCGAGGCATAAAAAAAATGAGAATTCCTATCTCCATAATTTAGCCATCGGATACGGGATCTTTGATGAATGAACATTTCCTCCCTAGAAAGAGCTGTCTCGAGATCAGATTTCATTTGGTCTTGTGCCTGCATATTAGCCTCTGTCCAGGGTTGGGACTAAAGAGACAAAAGCTTAGATTTTATAAGAGCAATGTTTAAGCTATTGTTTCCGAAATGTTCTTTACTTTTAAGCCCATCTCTACAACACTGAAGTTTCTTAACTAATTGGAACATAGGAGATCCACCTTGAATGACAGCCCATTTGGAGCTGATAACCTCCACACAATCAGGACTCGTTGACCACATGGTTTCGAATTTAAAGAGTCGAGGCACCCTCTTGAGAGGTACACATCAATTTAACACCACAGGGCAATGATCTGATCCAACAAAGTGTTCATGGAATACCTAGGCACAAGGAAATAGAGCTCGCCACTCCACAGTTGCAACTGCTCTATCTAACCTTTCATGAATATTAGCATTTCCATGTTAGTTATTTGACCACGTTGGTGGCTCGAGCGATTAGGCTATTTTCAGCATGTTTTGAAAAATCACATTTTGTTTATATTTTCATCTTGTCTCCTCACAAACATTTCTAAACAAGAATTATGACTTAATGAAGATTAATAAACTAACAATCAACATAAATTAGTTGGTTAAAGAATAAATCATTGATTTAGTAGTAATTGATTAAGACGCCAAGAAATCGGTCTATTTGGAAAAGAGGGATTTAGTAATGAAAGAATATGTGAAATGAGAATCCGATTTATTGGAGTAAGAAAGAATGAGCATAGTAGAACTTCAGATTACTTAGACAGAAAAGGACAAGAGAAGTTAAGTTTGATCAAAGAAGTGATATTGTGTTTCAATGTGTATCTGTCACGTGTTTGTGTAGGTCACAAGCTATCGTCTGCCTGATTTGTCTAATCTATCTAATTTGTCTGATCTGTGTCTGGAACTATCTGTTAGTAACAACTCTTTAAAGCTATGATTGAATTTAAGTATTTTTTTGAACAATATGATATGATCTGTTTTCTGAAATGCTATTTTGTGAATCATGAATGATTGTCCAGTTTTCTGGAATGTATTCGTGGTATCTTTAGCATCATGTGTTTATGTGATATCTATTATCTGGTACTAGGATTTCACGTGGGCTCCATTCATGGAGCTGGTTATGCATAACCGCTTATATCATCTGCACATGGGTCTTTATGACCAATCTGATCTGTTAGCTAATAGATGTACCACATATGACTGTTTACAAATATGATTATGTATATGAATTTGTTTCTGAAATGATCTGAATTTTGATTTCTGAATCTGTTATGGGACATCATTCATTAAAACCTTTACTTTGTTGTTATTCATTGGGTTCCAGCTCACTGTATTATTTATATATATAGGTGATCAGGCGCGTGACCAGGCCTAGGGCTTCTGCCTGGACTCTGTCTTGTCAGCCAACCTATGTGCCTCCCGTGGAGGTTCCAGATACGTTAAGTCGTCATAGCTATGTGATTAAAGTTTAAGTTTTTGTTTATTTTAGAAATAGGGTTAAGTTCCCTTTTTGTCTTATCTTTATAAATGTGATAACGTAAGAGTGATGTACAATATATGTATATAAAGTTTAAATTTTTTTTGTCCCATATATGTTTGCACAGCTCAATGGACGTTATATATTTGTTATTTGCTCCTGCTAGCCCCCTAATAATTTGATTTCTATTTAAGAGGCCTTCGATAATTTATAGATTTCTGGCCGATCACGATGCTAAACCTACAGAAACGAGTTTGGGTCTTGACAATATGTCCTTTCAAAACTATAATATAATGATTGATAATAAAATCAAAATAGTTAAATAACTTTTTCCTCCGTAACAAGATGTAATATTTTAATATTCATACAATCATAATCATAATAGTCCATTATATAACTATAATAGTTTGTAAGTAAAACTTGCATGGTGCATCCCTTCCTAACATAATTATAAGGGCTAATTACATCAATTATCATGTGTTTGATTGGACAAACTAGATAAGAAGGGATTAGAATCCATCGGATTGGAATCCTGGGATTGTGAATCCCCCGGACTATTTGGTCGGATTGGATGTGTAGCCCGTGTTTGTTTTCTTATGAGATTAGATGTCTGGATTAAACTATTTTTAATAAATTCAATGTTTGGTTGGACGGACTGGATAGGATAAATGAACAAAAGACTATTTTATCCTTTTTCAATTGTTTACTAAGTAATAGAAATATTAAACATATCTTTAATATTTTAATTATTTTTAGCTAGATTAAATAAAATTTTATTTTATTTTATTTTTTACACAATTAAATACATTTATTTTTTAAAAATTAAATACATAAAATAAATAAAATATCAATAAAAATATATTTTATTTTTTTAATTAAAATTTTAAATAAATTTATTTTTAAAAATAATAATAATTTAATAATGAAATTAAATAATATATAAACAAAATTTTAAAATAAAACATCAATAAAATATCTATTAAAAAAATATTTTAAAAATTAAATAAATAAAACATCAATAAAAAGTTAAATAAATTATTTTATTTTTAAATTGAGACATTTAAATTTTATTGAATTTTACTAAATATAATACATAATTAAATAGTAGAAAGGTCAAAATGGTCATTTCATCACCTAATCCCAACAGTGATAGTCCCCTGAAAATTGTCTCAACCCCCCTAGGATACAATAGTCCCCCATATGAGGGATAAAGAGTCCAGCTAGACTCCATGTCCGGCGGACTAAAAAAAAACAAATGCCAAACTAACATGTAGAATGGACTCCATGTCCGCACAGTGAATAGTTCCCCCAAATCCCTTGAATCCAGCACTCCCTTAGTTTCCTCAAATTTCAATTTGGTCCTTATAATTTGAATTTCGACAATTTGATCCTTATATTTTTTATTTGGGTAAATTGCACTGATGGTCCTTATATTTTACCCCTTGTGCCGTTTTGGTCTCTACACTTTCAATTGGCTCAATTTTAACTCTTAATTTTAGATTTTGTTTTAATTTTGGTCCAATTAATAATATTGTTAGTGTTTTTTAAGAAAAATTATCATTAAATTGGTTGAGGTTAACTAACTGAGTTAACTAAACTTATACTTTTACCCTTAAAAATATGACACATGACACTTATGTGCATATTTTTCATAAAAAAATGCTAAGAATTGTAATTAATTAGACCGAATTGAGACAAAATCATAAATTTATGGTCAAAATGAAACCAATTGAAAATATAGAAACTAAAATGACACAAAGAGTTAAGTATAGGGACTACCGTCATAATTTACCCTTTTTTTATTTTGTTTGACTTTGGTCTTTTTTGCTTTACAATATTGACTATAATATTTTAGTCATTATATTCTTACCTCTTAAGTTTTGTTACATTATTAAATAAAAAAAACCTTTTTATTTTATTTTTTATTTTATCACACTGTTTTTTTTTTTGGGTGATATTAATTCAAAAGCTTCCTTTAGAGAGTTCCCCTTATAAGGATAAAAATAATTATTTTGGCTGTTTTCTTACTTATTTCTACAATAACTATAGCGATCCCGGTTTACTCTACTTTGGTTGTTGTATTCTGGACTTAGGTTCTGTGGTGTTGGTTGTTGTATGTATCTTGTTTCCATCCTTCAATTCTATATATTTGAGTTTTAGGGTGTGTTGGGCAGGTTTGTAATAGGTTGGTTGTGATTGGGAACAAATGGTTGCTGTCCAGATTTTAGTGTCTTCGCTCGAGCGAGACTTTTGTCGCTCGAGCGAGCTCTGTGTTTTAGTTCCTTCGCTCGAGCGAGAGTTGAGTGTTGTTTCTGGTGGTTCGAGCGAGAAGCCTTGCGCTCGAGCTTGCGTCTGCGTCTGGTTCTGGACCTGAGGGTTGAATTTCTTGGCTCGAGCGAGCATTCCTTTGCTCGAGCGAGCGAGCTGTATGTTTTGGACTTCTTCGCTCGAGCGAGAATTCTTGCGCTTGAGCGTGCTTCTAGGTTGCAGACCTAAAGCTTCGAATTATTGGCTCGAGTGAGGCTTTTTACGTTCGAGCGAGGTTTTTTTGTGTCTGGTCGCTCGAGCTACCATTCCTTCGCTCCAGCGAGGCTCGAATATATCAGTTGCAGCAGCTTGTTTCTCTTTCACTTTTTCATCTCTTTTCTTTCTCTCAAACCCTAGAACGGATGCCTCTCTCTCTAAACCACCACTTCTCTCTACTAGAACTCTTGATCTAGGGTCCTCCTACACTATTTCCTTTGTATAAAAGTTAGAGCTCGGTGTGGGCTTCGTTTTGATCCGAGAATCTTTGAGTTTGGAGCATCTTGAGCTTTGTCCTTCTTTTCCTTTGAGCTCTGAAATTTGACGTAGGGATATCCTACTCCTTCTTATGGGTTTTGACATAAATTCTAGTTATATTGATTAGTTGGTGTTGTTGGGTAATTTTGGGAAAAGTTAGGGTTTGTTGTGTAATTTATAAAATAGGGGTTTTCAATGTTTTGAGTCAAATATGTGTTAGAGACTTGCAATTGGGGTTGTTTATGAATTATGAGTGAAGTTTGGCCTTGGGGGCAACATTTGAGAATAGGGAGATTAAAGCCCTAATTGAAATTAAGCAATTAATTTGTATAATTAATTGGGGAAATATGGAAATATGAAATTGGGTTGAGAATCATGCAATTGGATGGACTTGTGGTAGAATGGTGTGGTTGGATTAATTTATTACCCACTTATGAAACTGTTGATTATTTATCTGTTCGATAAATTTATTATCTGTTTAGATATAACTGCTTTGGGCTATCGGTGGAGGATAGTCTTGATTGTTGTAGACACTGCATGTTGATTAGGGAAAATTGAAACTAATCATCTGGAATATGTCATTGAATATGACG